TGTTGTAAGTACCTGACGTTAGTTTAGTTTATCTAATTGTTGTTGTAAGTACCTGACGTCAGTTTAGTTTATCTAATTGTTGTTGTAAGTACCTGACGTCAGTTTAGTTTATCTAATTGTTGTTGTAAGTACCTGAAGTGAGCTTAGTTTATCTAATTGTTGTTGTAAGTACCTGACGTGAGTTTAGTTTATCTACTTGTTGTTGTAAGTACCTGACGTTAGTTTAGTTTATCTACTTGTTGTTGTAAGTACTTCTAATTGACAATGTTTCCGAGACAGGACATATTTTAAAAGTTCTAAACTAATAATAATATTGTCATTACGGATACAGCACACGATCCGTGATATCATCTTGTGTTCAGATAATATCTGATACCTGAATATCGGTTTTATTTCTCCAAGAAAGAAATTGTCTACTCAGAATGTGTAAAAGTTTTTGCATTCATGAATCAAAGCACTATGGAACCCTTTACACGTCAGTATACAGATTCTTCTTAGCCTCGTTGATATCTATTGCTGTCTTTAGTTTACGATTCTCTACACGTAACAACACAGGAATCAAGTTTATTTGATTGTTGGTAAAGATATCCAGTTCCTCAAGACAGCGTTAATAAAAAGAACCAAGTTATACAAAAATATTTACGCGTGTTGTTTCCTTCAGAGCTGGACGTGGTCCCTCAACAACTTTTTATTGGGGGGGAGGGGAATTACGATATAGTTAATCTGATTAAAATACAAAACAAATACCTTGTAAGTTAATTACGAATAGCGGAAACTTATTGGAATTTTAGCAATTTTTATCATTTTTGTTGAGTAAAGAATCTTTGACAGCGTTAGACGGTATAGCTTTGGTTTGTTGTCTGTTTAATAATACATTGTAATGTGTAATTTATTTATGACGCATCAAGGCAACATCTTTAACATCTACTTAGGGTTTTTAAAAGGCACACACACATAGACAGAAAGATCGAGAGGATTCTTTATTGAATTCCCGTAAATATATCAAATGCGCATTTATTTCCCGTGTGGATAACAATGGAATATTCTGGAACTTTTGAATTTTTTTTAGCAAACAGACACAACGAAGAAGAATTTGAACGTAGTAGATCAAGGTTTAAGTCTCGCGATGACTACAACGATATCTTAACCTTTTACATCTGCTGAAATAAGTTTGTTTAAAGTTATGCACAAAGCTACACAATGGGGCTATCTGTGCTCTGCCCACCACGGGTATCGAAACCCGGATTCTAGCGTTGTAAGTCCGCAGACATCCCGCTGTGCCACTGGGGGGGCGTTGAAATAAGTTTGTTTGAAGTTATGCACAAAGCTACACAATGGGGCTATCTGTGCTCT